TATTTCTGGTGTCATGACCCTTGTGACACTTAAATTTTTACAATGTCCCGTTTCATTGTAGATATGGAACATTGGTTCTCCTACTGCAGAGTTTGCCTTGGATGGCCACTCAAAAGGAGTTAATTGCATTGATTACTTCAGTCGCGGGGATAAACCATATCTATTGAGTGGCTCTGATGACTTTACTGCTAAGGTTTGGGACCAAATGCTGGTTATCAGCTTTCTGTTTAGCTCGATATGTACAGCGTACGATTATGATGCGTATGTGTGTCATACTAATTTGAATTTTATTTGTAAATTTTCTTGGCAACAGGTATGGGACATTGAAACCAAAAGTTGTGTGCAAACTCTAGAAGGTCATGAGCACAATGTAACAGCTGTATGTGTTCATGCTGAGCTTCCCATAATAATTACAGTTTCTGAGGATGGGAACATTCACATATGGAATGCAACCAGTTTTAGGTAACTTCTGATCCAAACTACTTACATTACAAATAAAATTGACTCAGTTTTCTGTTTAATTCTTGCTATTGCATCTCTTTCATCAAAACTCATGTTGTAAACGATTCTTCTTCTATCACAGGCTAGAGAACAAATTGAACTATGGTCTTGAAAGAGTATGGGCCATTGGACAGTTGAAAGGATCAAACAAGTAAGTTTCTTTTTTGTTCTTTCTTGTGGGTTAAGATGTGTATCTGAGAGGATGATTTTTCGAGTAACCGTTTGATATACAAGCATGTAAATGTGGCAAAGGACTCTCAATTTGTTGCCCTTAGCTTGTTAGGATTTGTTTTATTGCATTGTTTTACCAGCATATTTATCAAAATATGCTTTCCTTGCTTCCTACAGGGTTGCATTTGGTTTTGACAAAGGAACCATTGTGGTTAAAATGAATGGCTCTCATACTTGGGATTCTGTTGACCTCCAAGCTTAGAAGGAAAGGTTGAAGGAATAAAGACATCGAATGCTGCGCGATTTTTACTGTGTTCTCCGAAGTAATTAGACTAAAGGAATAATTAATTTCACTTAAAACTTGCTGTTCCTGCTATTACTGTTGTATGATTTGCAAATAAAACTTATCTTTGTGTGTTTTGTAGTATATCCCATGAGGGAACATGTTGTAAGGATCAATCGAAATGGAATGTTATATGTGTTCTTTAACAAATTACACTGGTGCATATAGTAGATTCAGTAAAATACATATATAAACTGCAAATTACCAGTAATAAAACCCTTATGTTCTTCCCAGAAATTAGTTGGTGGCTGCTGTTTACTGGTGCTGAATAAATTTGGTGAAAATAATAGAAATCTTGCCATACAAGGAAAAAGACGGAAGGCTAGACAGGACTGTCGGAAATTCCAACCTCAAATCCAAAGGGTCTCAAACCGAAGTTTTAAAGACTAAGATTAGAACTCTCAAATGTATTAAAAGCGAGATCTGCACGAAGAACATACAAGAATGCTCCTTGTCCGCAACATATGTCAAGAGAGGATGCTTAGCGTATGCTAAAGAGAACCAGAAAATGCCATTAATGAAAGCAGACTCTGGTATATTAAATGTCAATCTGTTCTCGCAATAAGATATCTATGTAATTCATAATAAAATCTATGCATGAATTGAATTCATGGTCTGGCTTATTACTCAAGGATCTACAAGTTAATTTCACCTTTTTCTTTTCATGGCTAAGACTGAGGCCTGTAAATTAAAGGATTGTTTTACCTTCTACATGCACCTCAAAATTTCAAGAAAGAAAATCGTCGTGATGATGGATGTGTTTTCAGTGAGTCAAGTGCAGGCTCAGTTGAAAATGTGCATGCTGAAATGATGCTCCTCTGTCATGGTGTTAAAACCAGCACAATTTGTACAGGGTTGCGTTTGAAAGCTTGTAAGAAGACGCTCCCAGACCCCTCTACTACTGCAATCTTGGTTGCACAACTTCAATCTGCACCAACCTCAGCCCTGGTACGTACGTTATTAATCCTGTTGATAAAATTAACGCTGCTGTGCAAACATGAATAGTTTTTCTTTGATAAAAATACTTTGACATTTGTACTAAAGAAATATATATAATTGTTCGGTTTAGTACAAATCGCTAATATGATGTAAAACCCATGAGTCGAATTGATCAACAGTTTGGTTTGGTGTTTGAGCCAAGGTTGACATTTTATTTTTCTTCAGTTTTTCTCGTTTCGGTCCTCCAGTTCAACTGTTTTTTCGCCTACCCCATGTATGTGCATCGCTTGGTTTCATAGGCCTAATAGGATTGAGGCGTTTTGGAATACCATATCCGGAACCGGAGTATTGGTAGCGGATGATTGGTTTTCTTTGCTTTCCCAATTGTCTCCCTTAAATGTTGTGTTCCATCATGTTATGAGTCTTTGCTTTCTCAATTTCAGAATGGAATACCCGAGTATAGCCGACCGGGTATACTATTCTGAAAAATACGAGACATTATAGCCCCGCGGCTATACGATTTATATGAGAAAAAGGGCCAGCCAATACTATTTTTTTTATAAAAAATTACCGTAGGAAAGCCGCACGGCTATCTATTTTACAAAAAATAAAATATCCAGCTGTACGATTTTTTTCGAAAAAACCGCAACTATACCTTTTATTTGAAAAAAGTACCCTCCCAGCGATCCTAGCGATTACCACAGGTCAAAACAAGGATAGCCGCGCGGCCATACTATTTTGAAAAATATCCGAGAGTATAGCCGAACGGCTATACTATTAGAGACCAGCATCTTGGGGCTAACGTGGGATCCGTTCAAGGACCTACTTGGTTTAGCTAAATATCTCATGCGTTCCCCGACTAGAGAAGGTCATTTTTGGAGGATAAACTGTGCGCTTTTCAGGTCGGAAGAACGGGTTTAAAATATATATATATATATTAGCTTGATTTTTATGCAAAAAGGACAAAACGGGATTGGATTTCCACTCATAAGGAAGGAAGGTTGGATACCTTGTATAGCCGTCCGGCTATACCGTTTATTAATTTTTATTTATTTTTTTAAAAAGGACCCTCCTTGTTGTATTAGTTTATACTTAATTGATATTAGCCTCTCTGTACGTGCTTCCATGTTTGGGAGAGGCTTTTTTTTTTAAAAGAAAATTTATTTTATTTTAGAATTAAAAAAGATAATGGGTAGTTGTGTTCCATAAACATAAGATTCATTATATGGATTTTTCTTTCAATTTTTTTTTGGTTAATATGAAAAAAGTGTGAATTTACCATATTATCCTCATTTAATTAATAATTTTATTTTCTTAATGTTTGCATTAACCAAAGACATTTTCTGGTATTTTGAATGTTTTCCTATTCTTTGCCTTCTGCTTTATATATAATTGATACTAATCTCTCTGCATGCGCTTCTGCACCTTCGAAAGGCTTTTTTTAAAAAAAAATTAAATTTATTTTAGAATTAAAAAAGATAATGGGTAGTTGTGTTCCATAAAAATAGGATCTAATATCTGAATTTTATTTTATTTTTATTTTTTTAAAATATGAAAAAGTGTGAATTTACCGTATTATCCTCTGCCATTTTGAATGTTTCACCATTATCTGCCTTTTGCTTTTTATATATGGATTAATTGGCTAGTTTCAACATATCCAAAGCAAATATTGAAGAGAGAAATTTCACAGTAAATCAATATGAAAGTTCAATTTTTTTTTCTTTTTTTGTGGGAATGTTTGCTTTTGATCTAACTCGTTCTCTTGAGTGAAACTTGTTGGAGGAACAACAATCAATATTATTTTCATAATTTAATTAAACAAAAAATAGAATAATGAAATTAAATATGGTAGTAAATTAAAAACTGAGTGCTCTGGCATATGAAGGCTTGCAGAATTGCAATGTCCTTGGAACAGAATTTCGCCCCTACTCAATGCTTGTAGTTATGTAGACGTTTGCTCCACAAGGACACAACTATCTAAATCAAAATCCTAGCACTAGGGCTTTAATTTATGACAAAATTTGTGTGTTTATCTCTTCCTAACCTCAATTTCAAATTCATTATTACAACTTCTTTTGGTTTAGATTATTATTAATATGGAACTCAATATCATAAGTACATGTATATGTGTACAATATGATAAGTAAATTAATGTTCGCACTTCCAGTTTGTATACCTAATTCTCAGGCCCCTAAATTTACACATCCCTATATATTACATATATATTAATTCTGCTTTTTGAAGATTAATTAAAAAATTAAAATTGCCCAAAGTAAAAAAAGAAAATTCAACAGTTTATCAAGCTCATAACCTAAATACTTCATTGTTCCATATGTGAAATACAAGAATGCTGTGCGAACGGTGTCATTTTAATGATGTGTCTCGGGCCTTCAAATTTTCAGGTCGACCCTGATTAGTAAACATTTTTTATTATCAATAATTAAGAAAATGTAAAGCAACCCCAATGCAAAGAATCGAGAAATTTAGGAATCGGGAGTAGTGAATCAGTATGGAAAGAATCATTCCAATTAAGTTGTTTACTAACTATGTAAAATCAACACATAAATGGAATTGAATTCCATTGTTATTATTTACTAATTCTCATTAATCAGAACCTATACTAATCTACGTTACACTAATCCATTATTAATTCATTTGTAAATCTACTACTAATATTGCTTGGTGATTTCCAAAAAGTGTAAGTTATTTTAATAACAATGTTTTAGATAAATGCATTATATACACACTGGTTCCTCCCACCTTCTCACGATAATGACAAATACAAGGCAGAAATTTGCAACAGCCTTCAAGACATGAAGTTCTACTCGACGAAAAAAATATGGCAAAATGGGGTTAGGCTTCACCATTGCCAGACTTGTAGCTATGTTGGTAGAAACTATTTATTAGTCTAATATACAAGAAGACCAGTCTGACTCTGTCAAAAAGAAAAAAGTCTTTGAATTATTGGACTATGCTTGAAATTATTGGACTAATGCATTTCTGTTTCAATTTTGCAACTGAAAAATTTTTACTTGTTGCTTGTTTCTGTATGCTTTGGTGGGAAGCAGCCTCTTTCACTAACTATTGAGGTACGGCTAATCCCTTTTTCTTTTTCTTTTTCTTTTTAAATTTTATGGAAATAAGACGTGTTTCAAGGTTGATTCTAAGCTGTTGTAATAATTTCTGGACCAGAAAGAATTTGCTCAAAACTCAGAAAGGGTTAAATCTGTGGATCAACATCCAACTGAACCATGGTAATTTTCTACCTTCTTCACAATTCTGTAATGCCTTCTGCATCTCCTAACTTTGATTTTCATATTCTTATCATGTAATGATTTCCATGCAGGATTCTAGTAAGTTTGTATTCAGGAACTGTTTGTATCTGGAACTACCAGTCACAGGTGAGCCATTGTTACTTTCACCATTAATATCAAACTCCTAATTATCCGATTCGGGATTTTCATGCTTTCAATAAATCCTCTGGATGGGGCTAACTTAATTTTACTGGTCCAGGTCATGGAGAAGTCCTTCAAGGTCACTGAGTCACCAGGTACAATATTTTCTTTCATTTGTTCTTGATGTTGCCAACTGGTCATGACTTTGTATATAACATCTGTTTTTGCGCTTGCAGTGAGGTCAGCCAA